AGACAGTATTTCTCGAAGAATAACGCTAAATATTAAAAAACAATAAAAGAAATTTAAAAATATACTCGACCCTTGAATTAGTGAAATTCATAATTGAATATCCCCTTAGAATCACGATCAAATAACCTATTATTTTCTTTGATTTTTTTATTTAATATTCAGTCAATTAAATTGTATGATATATAATTAGATTCTACCAAACTATCAGTTTTTATGCAATTCAGTCCATAATCTAAGATGTTTAAGATTTCATATTGAATTTGGAACAAAAAATCTGGTAAAAAAAAGCATCATATAGTTTTTCAAATGTAATTAAAGAAAACTGCCACACAGTTTTCAACACCTTGAAAAATATATTACTTTATTTTTTTTTATGACGATGAAAAACAAAAAAAAAATATCTCCCACCAACCCAGCCCCCAAATTCTGACATCCAACGGCTATGTTCTGCCCTTTAAGTAATTAGCACCACAAGATACAGATTCCTCCGTAGATTGAAAAGAATCCAAACCACCTCATCCGGTAACCAGTTGGTAGGGTAGTTAGTCTATAAATACAGAGTAACTAAAGCCGTTTTATTGTACCACCGCCTAAGAAATCTTCAGGTCTGGTTAGAAACACAGACACAGGCCGACAAAGTCTTGAGGTTTTCTTTAGATCTGTACGGGTTACTCTAGTCTAAGGTATTATCTCGTTGCTCTTTCTCTTCTATATTTAGCCTTCATGCTCTCTCTTTATGGCTTTTGTTTATCAACTCTAGAAAAATGAATGTTAATGCTGGTTTTCAAATTGAAAATAGTGGTCTCTAGTTTTGGAGCGAACTTGGTTCAGACAGTTTCAGATCTGGGTACTTGCTGGTCTTTTAATCTATTAGTTTAATCAGTTTGGTTTACTCTGCTCTCTTCTTGTCGCGTGGCTTTAAAGATTTCGTTTTGAATGTCAGTGGGTGCGGTACATGATGTCTGGAAGATTAAATTTGGCATGTGTTTTACTTGCAACATTGCAGTAGAGAGCAGTAGATCTGGTTTTTATTTACAATTTGATAGTTCTTTTAGGGTTAAAAGTGTTTAGAAATATATCCAGCGGAGTCGAAAAATGTTTTTATATCATTGGAATGGACCATTTATGGTCGCAATCATAATCGTCTCAGTGTGAGTAGCTTAGATCTGGTGTTTCTTATCCATTTCTATCGTACAATTGGATTAACAAGTTATGCCAAGAAAAAGCTAACTTTGCACTTCTACAAGTAATTGAGGCACGTTTGGGGTCTCTACGTTTGATTAATGGTAGAAAAGAAACTGTTGTAAACTGTGCGATGCACCCCTGAATTTCACTCTGTGCGTGAAGCTAATATTTTTGTTTGCCGTTCGGTACTTTCACTATAGCTTGTTAATACCTGAGTTTTACTGTCGGTAGATCTATTGTTGGGTTGTCGATTTTTCTTAACTTCTTTTTTTGACAAGCGTGATTCTATAGGAATCTATCTCATTCCAGTGCTAAAGGAATCTAATTTCTTCTTTGTTCCTTTTTTATTGCTCTCTTTCAAGAGTATAGACTTTTGAGATTTTGTCATTTCTTGTACTTGGATTATGCCCTCTTGTAACTTGTTATGTAAAGTACGAAGGATCTATATCAATCTTGAGGATATTTTTGGCTCTTTCTTCCCCGTATTCCTACGCGTAGATGGAATGTTGCCTGCCATAGTAATTAAGCACACAGTTGCCACATGTCACTATATTAAGAGGTCTTTTGTGAATTTTGTGATCTGCAGCTTGAGAAAATGGAAACCTTTCTATTCACATCCGAGTCAGTGAACGAGGGCCACCCCGACAAACTATGCGACCAGATCTCTGACGCGGTGCTCGATGCCTGCCTTGAGCAGGACCCAGACAGCAAGGTTGCTTGCGAGACATGTACAAAGACCAACATGGTCATGGTCTTTGGAGAGATCACCACCAAGGGCAAGATAGACTACGAAAAGATTGTTCGTGACACATGCCGTAACATTGGATTTGTTTCTGATGATGTTGGTCTTGATGCTGACAAGTGCAAAGTCTTGGTTAACATTGAGCAGCAGAGCCCTGATATTGCCCAGGGTGTCCACGGTCACTTTACCAAGCGGCCAGAGGAGATTGGTGCTGGTGACCAGGGCCATATGTTTGGTTATGCCACCGATGAGACCCCTGAGTATATGCCTTTGAGCCATGTACTTGCCACCAAGCTCGGGGCTCGCCTCACTGAAGTTAGGAAGAATGGCACCTGCCCTTGGCTAAGACCTGATGGCAAGACTCAGGTTACTGTTGAATACTACAATGACAACGGTGCAATGGTCCCTGTCCGTGTCCACACTGTTCTCATCTCCACTCAACATGATGAGACTGTCACAAATGATGAAATTGCTGCTGATCTAAAGGAGCATGTCATTAAGCCTGTCATCCCTGAGAAGTACCTTGATGAGAAAACTATCTTCCACCTAAACCCATCTGGCCGTTTTGTTATTGGTGGCCCTCATGGTGATGCAGGTCTCACTGGTCGCAAGATCATTATTGACACCTACGGTGGCTGGGGAGCCCATGGTGGTGGTGCTTTCTCAGGGAAGGACCCAACTAAGGTGGATAGAAGTGGTGCATACATTGTTAGGCAGGCTGCCAAGAGCATCGTAGCAAATGGTCTTGCTCGGAGGTGCATTGTGCAGGTCTCCTATGCTATTGGTGTACCCGAGCCTTTGTCTGTCTTTGTGGATTCCTATGGCACTGGAAAAATTCCTGACAAGGAGATCCTTAAGATTGTGAAGGAGAACTTTGACTTTAGGCCTGGAATGATGACCATCAACCTGGATCTCAAGAGGGGTGGCAATAGGTTCTTGAAGACAGCCGCATACGGACATTTTGGAAGGGATGACCCAGACTTCACCTGGGAGGTTGTCAAGCCTCTCAAATGGGAGAAGCCCCAAGCTTGAGTGATTTATCATATCCCTTTCGTTTGATGCCTGTTTTATTGGTCCTTGATGAATAATTTGACTTGTTTTCAAGCTGTTGGTCTATAATCAATAGCTATCTGCCATGGTCTACACTTCGATACCTTCCCTATTCATCCTCCTTTCTTTTACTATTTGGGTCTTTTTTTTTCCGTCTTTTTTTTTTCCCAGTGTCGGCGGTGTGAAAAAGTGTCATAATTTTGGTTGAAATGACGGCAATGGAAGTAACAAATGCCTGTTGAGCTTGCACGAGGTAGCTGTAGACAGCAGCAAAAATGTAGTCATATGTTCTTGGACGAAACAAACTGTTGTACTCTCTGTTTTCAATCAAGACAGCTCATTACTGCATTGCAATTTGATTCGCATGGCTTTCCTTTCAGTTTTCAGCATGATATAACAGGCTGATGTGAAGTTTCTCTTTCTGTGATGACACGTAATGTATATCAGCTAGATCATGTCATCAGCTCTTTATGGGGAAGCCTTATTGAAGGAATGCCCGTAAAGTTCCTAAACTGACGTCTACGATTATGAACACAATGAAAGTTATGATCGATGCCCGTACCTATCCTGATTCATATTACAAGGAGATCAGTGATGAATTTCATGATCTCCTTGGAGTCCTCAACCATCAAACAACTGAAACTCGCATTGTGTAAAAGACAATGGCACTGGGTATACGTTTGCATTATTCATCCTTGAACTCAAATTTTAAATTATTATCCATACTTGATCTGAAACTCATGACCTGATTGAGTTTCAAGTATTCGGGTATTCATAACCCGACTCCAACCCTCTGCACAAAATCAATAAAAAACAACAAATTTCTTATCATACCATATCCTGCTTCAGTTGTTGGATGTCTGAGTTTAATATGTGCAGAATATCTGTCACTTAATTTGTTGTAATGTCTCTTCAACGGTGCTCGTTAAGCTGCGTGACATTGCTGAGGCTTATCTTGGCAGCCCCGTGAAGAATGCAGTGGTCACTGTCCCTGCTTCAAAGATTCACAAAGGATGCCTGTTTGAATGTCGTATATTATCAATGAGCCCACTGCCGCTACCATTGCTTATGGTTTGGGCAAGGTAAAAAGACGTGTCTTCCTACCATTTTTAAATTTATTTCAACATTGAATTTTTAAAAATTAGGATTAATTTTTATAATTTATTTTAATTTATTTTTTTATAAAGTTATTATAGATTTATTTTTAGGTTGCATATTTGACAATTAACTAGCCGATTTAATATATTATAATCTCGATATTAAAAAAATATTTTTTTCATATAGTTTTATATTAATATTTTTTAAAAAATATAATTTAATATGGATCTTATTTTAAGTTTATAATTAAATTAAAAAATATTATCAATTTTTTTATCCATCTATTGCTAATGATTTGGTATTTAATGAATCATGTGATTAATGTATTTAGGAATATGGTAAAAATAGTTTTTTTTTTTTTTAAATTTAAATTTTTTTTGCTATGTTTTTATATTTTTAGATTATTTTGATATGATGATATGAAAAATAATTTTTTTTAAAAAAAAAATAATTTTAAAATATATCTAATAAAAAAAACACTTTAAACCACAACCTCTACCAATCCAAAAAAAAACACATGCTCATCACACCTTTCTACTTGCTAGCAAAAGGCCAATCAACTGAGATGCAATCATAAAATTTTTGGACCCCTGTCTATCATTTTTATCATTTTGAAATGTAATCGGTGGAGAAAACTTCTGTGCTTTAAGCTTTACGAAAAATGTTGTCTTCGATCTGAACAGATCCGAGCAGTCTATGTTTTTCAGTTTCCAAAAGAAGAAAAAAACTGCACTTTGAAAATATAAACAAGAAGATAGTCGAAGTTAAAGGAATGCATGGACACCATTCATCGTCGTTTCACAAAACGAGATCGTCTCTCTTTTACCCATTACAAGATGGGAAATCATAATTTTGGATCCTTTAATGAGAAAGTATTCAAACTACTAATAGATATGAATACCCTTCTTGTCTCGAGCTCTCTTGGCATTACAGGGGATAGGTGCATGCACCGAAGGCTGCAAAAGACATGAGATTCATCCTTATATTGGTTAGTTGTTGCTCAATGACAAGGACAAATTAAATATCGTTATTTGAAAAATACCCAGGTACAAGAATCTCAACAGGTGACTTACATGGGTCCTGAGTAACAACAATTCCAGTACCATTGAAATGGCAATCCCATGGGTGCTTTCCTGCAGCCTTGAAGAAGAGATTCATAGCGTAGGAGGCATGTCCGAAGGCAGTGTCTGGACGAAAGCAGCTACCACCTGGTTGAATTTGCCCACAGTCCACTCCATTTTGCCCACAGCTATATTCTATGTTGCGCAAAAGCTCAAAATTATATGCCGATGGTTTAGCAATGCACCACCTGCCCTGAACATCATCTGCCTACAGATTAAGTATAAAGCATTTTATTGATTTATTAGGACTTTTGAGAGGGGAAATAAATAAATAAAGGGGTGGTGTAATGCTATGGCCCAATCACATATACACTGCATGCCCTTTACCCTGATCTGGTCTTGGTTTCCTCCATGGCCATAGGATTGTGACTCTGCATGGTGGGAGACATACAATTTTAAGTAATACGTTAAACTTGAAATTAAAAGAAAACATATAACATGAGATGCAAAACCTGCTGACCTGTAGAAACAGCAAGACAAAGAAGCAGAGCAAAGGCCAGAGGAAGGCAGGCCGAGGGATACTTCGCAATCTCCATCTTAGTTAGATTGTTAGAGTAGCCAAGAAGTTTTGAGAGTGAATGAGTTGGTGGGCTTTGATGGGGAGAGTGTGTTTTATACCTGTAAGATTAGAAAACGCGATACAGATGATTAAAATGTCAGTAAGGCCATCGTGACAGGAGTGCCATGTTCCAAAGGGATTGCCTAGCTAGCAAGGAAAAGAGGGGGAAAAGGAGCAGATAAAACAGCTTTGAAAAAGTCCAAAAGGGTACTGATAAAAGCAGAATCAATGCACTGTGCTCTGGTGGAAAGGAAGTGCTGTTGGGTGACTTGGGTCTCGTAACTGAACAGAAATGGTCAAGCGTCTGTAAACAGGCTGTGGTTTATGCGTTGTCATTCATGCGGCTTTTCAATTCTGAGTTTGGACAGTGTCTCGTTCCTAAGGTCTCCACTCTCACGCACCACCCTTTCTGTCTTTGTTTTGGGTTCAATCCTCTCATTTGCCCCAAAAATTACTCAATGTCTCCAGCATTCATGCTCATGATCTCTCACATTTATGCAAAGACTTACAATTAATTTTCATGAATTTATTTCAAGTAAGCATGTAAATACGATCAAGACCCATGGTTTATATTCCTAATTGTGATTCCTTAACCCACAGTTCATTGTTCTTCGTTTCCTTCTGTTTTCTGGCAATGATAAATATTGCTAGGGGTCCAAAGGGAACCTCCACTGATGCATACAGACATCAAATGTTGTAATAAGGAAGGAAAGAATGTCTAACTATCCAGTGGATCGATGAAATGTTTTGCTCACGTATTCATTCTTTTGCAAGCTGTCTTTTTTCAACTTTTCTTGCTGAATAATTTCTTGAATTGTGTGAAACACGTTTATTATTTAACAAATTTATGGTTTATTATTTTTATTTTTTAGTAAATTGCTTAGAGTTATTTATAAAATGAATGATTTTCAATATTTATTAAATAAACATCTTTGATTTTCAAATAACTTTATATGGATATTCATGATTATAATTAAAATACCTTTAGTCTTTGAACCATACAGAATTGTTTTTAATGGATTTAAGTAAATATTTATTAGGAACATAAATTGAATTACTTTTAAAATTTATATGCACTTCACTCTTTAAAATAGTAACTACTGGAACATTTTCACTTAATATGATAAAATTATGAACCTTTTTTATTTTAAATATATTTTTCACTTATATGAGATGTGAATTAAATTAACATTATTACATACATGAATAAAAATAATTAAATAGTATTTTTAAATAAATATTTTTTTTAAATATTATTAGTATTCTTCCAAAAGAGTTACAAATTAATGTAAGACAACAACTTATTAAAATTGAACTAAGGCTTCGATTCAATAGTTTATTAAATTTTTATGTAATTTAATTATTTTTGGATTTTAGTACTCTATTTATTTTATTGGCCCTCTTTTAAGCTTTTTAAAAATTTTAGTGGTTAAAATAAAGTATGTATTTGTCAGTTTGTTTCTGCATTTCATAAATATTTTTGAAAAATTTAAAATTTATTTATTTTTTATTTACTTTAAATTTTATTAATTTTTAGTGTTTTGAAATCATTTTAACATGCTGATATCAAAAATAAATTTTTAAAAATAAAAATAAAATATTATTGACATATATTTTGGTACAAAAAATTATTTAAAAAATATTTGTAACCACATTGTCAGACAAGATATTTTAGGAACTAAAATTTTTATTTTTGAGAATTTTAGCATCTTTTTTTTTCTAATTAGAGGTAAGTCTGAATTTTCTTAATATAATATATTGTAATTATTTATATATAATTATAGATTACCGTAAATAATATAATTTAATATTATTTAAGAAGTTATTTCAAGAGCTTTTTATACCATATTGGAAAAACATTTTTTTATTTTTAAGTTGAAGTATTTAAATATAATAAGCTTTGAATACCACATTAGAAAAACAAAATCTTTTTTAAGAGTTTATATAGTAAATTATGATCTAGACTTATAACCAACTAGAAAAAATAATAGGCTTATACATATAAGGTGTTGGACTGAGCAAGAAAAAACATAAGCTAAAACCATGGTTTTTAAAGCTTTTCTAGTATTTGATATAATAAATTATTACCTGGGCTAATAACCAACTAGAAATGATAATAGGCTCACGTGTATAACATTAGACTAAGCAAAATAAACCATAAAATGAAATTATGATTTTTGAAGTACTTGCAATTTATTTTTCTAATAGTTATATTTTTCCCAACAATTATTTTTCCTAACAACTATATTTTAAAAGGGTCACTGCACTCTTTTAATTCTCCATTTAATTTCTTTGTTACAAATCTTAGACCTATATATATCACCTATATTTTTTTGAAGAGGAATATATAATTTATTTTAGGTTGTCGTACTTTTTTATTTTAATTTGCCTTCCCTCAATTCTACTGGAGAAACCTGTTAAATCCGCAATAGCTTTCGATAGAGACAAAATTATTAAGAATAATATTGTAACAGGCCTCCATTGTTTCTTAACCAGCAAGAAGGGTGGCCTCTATCCAATTCCGTGTGCAATGTATGGCACCACACACTGTGTATCGAGCCACCAGAAAACAATATATGAAAAATACAAAAGAAATATTAAAAAAAAAATCCTAAAATCATGTGCTAAAGAACACCCATTATTCCTTAAAATATCACCTGGGGTTCTTTATTACATGGTCATTCGGTGGTTGCTCGAATCCTTTTGGAGTCGGCATAGATGTTGATTCGGATTTGGACCCCCCAGAAGCAGACCATTCGAATGAACAAGCTGTAAAGCTCCAGCTTTTTTCATTGCCCTTTTTCAAGCTTAATTTAGTGCTGATAATTGCTGCAGCCCATGAAGAATAAGAACCTGCTCGGCATGGATTTGATGGAATTTTGAAAAATTGAGAGATTTCTTAATTTATTTGAGGGATTAAAAATATCTATATGTTTTCCTTAAATATATAAATCTTTATATTTCTACACAATTTACTCGTTTGTTAGTTTACGTACATAAATTGTCACATCTTCACCTTCTATTTTATTTTTGGATCTTAATGTTAAGAATATTTTAGAATAAGCTTTGATATATAGTGATTAAATTCGTTCTTGGTTAGATCCTAAGCAGGTTATCTATATCTAGGTGGCGCGCATGTTCACGATTAATTATATTTTTTATCCCTTTAGAAGTTCACCCCTTTAATTCTTATGATGAATTATTAAATTATATATCCACATTATAATATACATTAATTTAGCACAATGAACAGGTTCATAGCGGTCTACTAGTCTAGCTATTGGATTCAATAACTAGTAATATGCAAGCATGCAATCGTAATCCAGAGTCTCATGAGGAAGCTCAAAACCCGCTCGTTGTAACAAAACATTTTTGTACAGATTTTAGAGAAAAAATATCTTTTATAATAATCCATTTTCAAGAAATAATTTTGTTATAATATTCTTGAAAATTAAGTGGTTTAGACAATATGAAGGAAGTCATATTTATAGTATAAA